ATAAGCTCAGCCTCCTATTTTACAATTTATCTCGACAATTTAATAGACTTAGGTACTCACCCAATAAGTGCCTTAATACAAATTTTAATTACATTTCCTATTTTCCGTAGAGCCCTAACAAACACATCTAAGCATAAAAATGTCAAAACTCATTTTCCCGATATTGACATTTAATTTATACTTTCGAAGATTGGATAGAAGTGACAGTTTAGAGCGCTGTCGTCATATTAACGTTGTGGACAGCTGGGAGCCGGCGGATGTTCTCGAAATAAACTAGCTGCGCGCCCGGCCCCGCCCGCTCCTCACAGGTGCCACTCCGAACATGCATCATACTTCACATGTAATTAAGCCGTGAAAGATCGCTGCAAACATGCACCGTAAGCAACACAGCTTCGACAAACACATGTACCTAATAATAGACACGTTAATTAATCTTCGGAGTTATAGTGAATTATATTTATCTTATGTACTCGTTACGCTCATATTACGACACTGATTGGAATAACGATCTCATTAAATTGGACGTAAAAGTTGGAATAACATTTCTTTGGTACAGATATTACAGAAAGGGCTTCACATTTAAGTAATAAGATATATTGCACGTTTAGTGGTCACGAATCTTTAGATTAAATTACATTTTCCATGATATAATAAGGCTTTTAGCGAGCTGTGCCGTGTAAAGGCGATAAAGTGTGGAATGGAAAGCTAGACACGCTCGCAATGCGTGCTTTATGAATTCATTTTGTAAGTATTAGCGTGGGTTTAGCTAACAAGCCGCTGTAAAGTTGCTCGTAGATGTAAAAGGTTTTGACGTAATATAATTTGATGGAAAAGATTCAACAAATAGTTGGAAGTAGTTGTAGTGAGTAGTGAGCCCGCAGCCGTAACTCGCGCGGTTGTGTTTCCGACACACGTCGGGATTGCATGATTAAGGAGTAGGTGAGCGAGCTCCTCTTTGTACCCAAACGTTTTCACAGTTGGTCTGGATGTCATATGAAATGAAACTTTCACGATTTCGAGAAGATGAACTGCGAGTTAGTTTGGTTAATGCGTTAGATAACTAGCTCCATTTGCTGTAATGTAGATATGACGTACTTAAGTGTGAATTGCTTTGTTGGTCTATTCGCAAGAGCGATTCCTAGGTTGAACAAAGTACTATAATTTTTTTTAGGAATTACGTGCATCGTATCAGTGTAGGTAACACGATTTAATAATTCTAAAATAACTAGACCCGAGGTCGTGACCCTTACCAATCACTTTGACCGTTTACTCACGATAAATGCACGTTAGCAGAACTGTTGAAGTCATAAATATATTTTAATACCTTGTTTACACGAAGCGCAAATTCCCTTTATCATGCTGTCACTATCATTATCACTATAAAATATTATTCTCGCCAGTCAGAAATACTCAATTTAATCTTTATTTCGTAAACAGTAAAGGTATTTTTTCTGTAGACTGAACAAGTGAGCGATTGTGATAAATCTTGTACTCAATCACTGCGGTATAATGTGAGAGAAACTACAAGTATTCACCTATTAACCCTCCCACGCTGGTGTTAAGTAATGGCTTCCCAAAATAATACCAAGAAGGGTTCATAAAGCGATGTCGTTTATCAATCACCTCAAAATGTGATTTATTAGTATTTTTACAGCTGATCCATGATAAACATTTCTACTACGAAAGTCTTTCATTAGATACAAAAGTTAATATTATTATACATTTAATTACTAACATAAATTAAACCTTCGTTGATCCATTTAAGTCATAGATTTGCTTGTATAAAATATATTTAGTAATCGAAATAAAAGTTGTTATCTTATAAAAAGCAAGTGTGCAACGCCGCTTGGTTTATAAAATGTACCTGCGCTTTACAGAATTGTGTGGCAGAATCGTGTATGAAAATATTTACGCTTCGAACTACGATTCAAGAGTCTAATATTGAAAAATACCTTTGCCTACTCATGCACAAATAGCTAGCTTTTATTGAAATAACTTTAAAACGAGATATTACGAATAAATACAATGTGTATTTTAGCTAGCATGTCGATCAATTCGTTTTGGAATATTGACGTACATTGTTATTCGGTAAAATCGAAATTTTACAGCAAATAGCTTTTAAATTAATCTCATTGTTATTTTAGCTACCACAGCAAGAAAGTTTTTACATTTTATGCTGTTCTAAATAATTACATGTATGGAAAGCAGAACGTTCCCTAACAAAACATGTCATGACTTACATAGGTAAATATCCGCGGGGCAGTGCATGACACGGGTTAAAGAAAGGGATCAGGTTAGCTGATACCACCTTTTGTTTCTATAATAACTCGACAAACTTTGTGGTTGCGTGATGGAGTAACAAAGAATCCCTTATTTGTCTAGTAAGCATTAGTGTAACAAAGTTTGTATGTTTCGCACCCCGCGCCACGCGGCTGCTACGGATGTCGCCGCCCTAACTTTTCCTCTAACGCCCCGCAACTTTTATTTGATATTTCCATTGGCTGCAGCCGGTCAGCCATGAGACCGTACATGCATTGTTTATAACGCTTTATAGATACTTAACCCTTTGGTATTGAAGTTTTGAACGTGGGCGATATAAATAATTTATACAGATTATATACAAATAGGCTCGCCTCTGTAAGATAGGAAAGAGAAGTAATAAAACGCGTGAGGCGTGTGCGGTCGGCTTCTGAATAAAAGGACGAGTGTGTATATAAAAAATCTAACGAGGATGTAGGACAGGCGCGGCCGCGGCCGGGTGCGTCAGCCGTTCTCGCGCCATTAATCTCAGCTTTATTATAAACACAGGAGCCGACTAAATCATAAACATGTTTAATGTGAACCTACTCCGTGAGCTCTTTCATTCGAATGCTTTAAATAAAGTGTTCATTGAACTACTCGGTTCACATTACAATCGATGTGATTGTACGCACAGAACTTAATTTTCTTGAGTTCGTTGACACTTAATTATAACCATTATAGCTCGAAATACATATTTCGAACAAGTTTGAACAATGGTCACGTAGGAATTTATAGTTTTCAAATTAAATTTAAATACATCAACGTCGGTATATCTGTGATAATATTATTGTACCGGTGGCATGTCTTCGTATATAACTCAACCTGTTTCCGCATACAATGGAGAGCAGTTTACGTTTACCTATGTACGCGGTGGACAGTGAAAAAATTGTATTGGGATTGGGACAACCATAAATAATGCGTGTCGGAAAATAATAACTCATTCTGCAACATGTGCTAACAATGGTCCACAGGGACATCTACATATTGTTCTGTAATTTTGATTGTTATTTTTTAAATCATTTAATGTAACGGTGCAATGCTTCTGCCTATATAACACAAAATACAACCGCGTAATACTATACATACACACAGTACAATAATAATATACAACTTAAAATTAACAAAAACTAAAACAGTGAATAAAAAAAGAAGAAAAGAAATGTAAAAAAATATACCATCAATTAGGCAACACAATAATTATAAACGTGGTCGTGTACTTCTCAAGAAATATGGCGATAGTCACATCTTCTGCCAAAACTTATTATTACGGCTGTCTACGAGGAAATATTATTTTATTTACTTCATATTAATATCCGAATAAATGTTACGTTTTCCTTTCATAATGTTCTTTTGATGGTAATGTAATTATCATTGTATTTACGCCGTTATATCCTTTGTGTTATTCGAAAACCAGGATTGGAAAATACGTTTAATAACTATTAAAATTGGCCTTAAATTACAGTTAGGGTAAGGTCATAAATTAATTACTATTGGAACGCTAATATTATGGTCTCGTTTAAGTTATTTATTATACCCGACGAAGGAATATTGAGCAATACTAAAATGAAACTTATTTATCGGCTCTAAATAATACGTGCTAGTATTGTGAAAGTTTTAATTGGTCAAGTTCGCGATCCGTCAGGTAGTGTGCAGCTGTTCCTAACAACCGTGCTGAGAGCTCGGAATTACGTCACAATCACACCATGTGCGTCGCGAATCAAAATGTGGAGCACTTCACCCGCTTCGGAGATTGATGACGATTACTGCCTCAGAATTTATTATTACCTACTTTACAAGAACTTCTTCTATTTGGCTCACAAATACTTTTGCAATGTTCACAGTAAGTACCCTATTTGGCCCTCATAATTATTCCGTTGGGCATTGTTAATTTAATAGTTGCCGCCCCGACGTGCTCGCAGCGTTAACAAATTTTGTTTTGATCAACATTCTTAGAGGATATTCCCCAGTAAAGTTGTTTTGTAATTAATCTTCACGACTCACCCGCTCGATCTTGCTGAACTAATGAAATTGTAATTAACGTTATTACCTTTTCAATACGCTTTTCAATTTTATTGTGGGAATAGGTAAATGGGCTGTGATTAAATTGTAATTCGATAAAGTTTAATTTAGGAATTGTAATTAATAGATATTCTATATGCACTATACTATTTAAAGACATTTTTGCTTTGTATTAATTAAAGGAAGCAATTTCCTAAACAAATTAATAGAGAAGCACCTTGTTATAGAGTGGATCTCGTGCGTATGTAATCATTATCTAACAAGATTAGATTTAAACTATTTACATGTACTTAAGTAGTATTGGCAAAGTTTAGTTATCGCAAGAAAATTATTGTGGAGACGTATAAATTCATGATAATAACAATATTGCCTATAAGGATTACGAAAGTTTTGCGACGCCCCCTGCGACCTAGCGTTGTTGAACAAAACGACATAAATCTAAGTTAAAAGTTAATTTTGTCAATCCGGATAATTCCTCAAGGTTTAATCAGACTAAGTTGGGTGTAATTAATGTTCACTAAGGCCACACAATCTAGGAAAGCTTCGGCTTAGCCCGCTACGGAAATCGGAGTTTGCAGCGGGCTGGGCGGGCGCGCGCGCTGGCGGGAGCGACGCGCGCCGCCGGTCGCTGCGACCGAGCGCGGCGGCACGCCAGCCAGCCAGTGCCATGGGGGCGAGCGACCGCACGGAACGCGTCGCGCACCCGTCGCTGCTCCACTACCCCCTTAATAAAATTTACGTCACTCGTCTGTCAAAACTCAGTCGAACAAATAAGCCCATGGACCTAGTTAATTAGACGCGTCTCCCGATGGAAGTTGTAATGAAATTAATTCATAAACACTGCGGACTATCAAGTGATTAAAGTTTACCGCGTTTTTGTGCGAGTTTCAAGAACTGGAAAACTTTTTGAAGGACTTCTGCGTTCAGTTTCTATGGATGTTTGTAGGTATCATTGTGTTGTTTTTATCTATTGTTTTGTTGATAATTTAGATAATTCATTTTTAGTCCAGCTTGTGACAGTTTAATTAAGGGTATAAATTTTCAGCGGATGCAATAACGGTTGCGACATTTATAATTTTAAATGTATTTCGAATGATTGCTTTCATTGTTTAGTTTAGTAGGAAATACGTAGTGAGTATACACCTGAAAAAATCTTTATTTGGTACAATTACATAGTAGGTACGCGGTACTTGTTTCCGTACAATTAAAATCAGTCACGTTTAATTGGTATAAACGAAGAGGTTGAAAAATGTAATTGGGAAGAACACGAGTTGAGGGTAAATTTTATTACGTCACCGAAGATAGGGACAGATGTAAGTTGAACGGATCCCTTCACTGAAACAATTGTGGCGTGATTAAAATGCAGAACAAAAGGTTCACCATTACGTGGTCGATTTCATTACGGAATTTGGTGGCAGCGGCCCCTTCTGGATTCCCGATACATCGACCTTTAGCTGGCGGCTCTTTCCCTTTTCTTTAGTAAATCACTGGCTATCTACATAAAGTAACACATAAAATACCGTCGCAATTCGTCTGAATCGAACCATTGTGTAATGAATTGCCTAAACATATTTTATTCAATTGCCTTTACACCCAAATAAATCGTCTTTTACAACTGAATTCGTTTAAGGCCATCCAATATTATCGGAATGTCCCATTTTCTAATTTTGTGGTCCGAATGACTGGAATTATTTACATAGCTGTAGTAAGATTGTCGATGGAATGGTCTGGGGTATTTTGTGCTACATACTTTAGATATACATACCTATTACCTAGTGACGAATGGTTTTTATCATCGTATTCTTTTCCTTCGTCTTATTATTTCGTCTTGGGACTAAAAAGAACTTTGTCTCATTCATGTCAGTGTCAACAAGATTTACGTAGCCATTGCAAATTACAAAATAAATAAAATTACGACAAGATCACGATCCATGGCGTATTATTACTCGAGCGTACGGCGCGTCGCGATCCGCGCGCGCCTGAAAGAGCCATCAGCCCACCACGGATTGGGCCCAAAAGGGCTGATGCCGATTCGGAGTCGCGGAGAACCTAACGGGTTACCGGGGCTCCGGCTCGAAGCGCAGGAGAAGGAACGGAGTGGGTTTTAGTCAGTAAGATGACACTCCCTCCCGCCTAACCCAGGCGGGAGCAGTAATTCGATGATTTTCCCCCCTTAAAAAAAACGGCTTATTATTGAATAGATTGATATCCAGCAGTCTACAGAAATGGGCTGCTGCTAATGAAGACAAATTGCAAATTATGTTGCGTAGAAGAACATGGATACCACAGATTACAACTGTTAGCTAATTAACCATCACTTGTCACTTACAACTTCAATCTGTTTCTGAATGCTAGTAGGCTAGAACTTATTTCTGAATAATTTTAAGTGAATGTTTAAAAAGTTATGTTATGTTTAAAAAAGTCAATTTGGTTTTCTTCTTTTTTGTTGTAATCTTTCACTTAAATGGAACACTAGAAATAAATCAGCATCTATCTAACCCATATTTTAGCCAGATTACTATCTTCAGACAATACATTGAAAATGTTTTTCTAACCACTCTGCTTGTGCACTGTTGTCCTTCGGGGACCACACTTGTTTTTCCAAGTTGACATTTTCATTTACTTTCCGATACTTGATCTCCAAACCCTAATTGAATTGAATTTTCTATTAGACGTGTTACTAAAGATCGAAGTTACTTAGTACACTAACCAATGAGGGTTAAGCTAACTGTTCTTTGCATTGAGTGAGGTAATGGGCCCGGGTCTTTTAAGATGTCTTTGCCCTTTCGGTTTAGGTAAAGTTGGGACAATTTGTGATATCACTATCTAATTGCTGTCCGTAATCCTATTGAATCTGTAATCAGTAACCTATTAGCTCATTGCGTCACGGGGTCAGTTTATCGTCAAATTGGCTTTCAATTAACAGGCACACGGCTTTTGATAGCTCTTTGATCAAGTATATCGTTCTACAAAACATTCACATTTACACAAAATATTTTATGGATTTTCCACAAAATATTAAATATCTCAACAAAAAATTAATTAGAAATTTCGGTAGAAATATGGTTGAAGCCAAAAAAATTTAGTAGTGATCCCAATTTTGCGTAGATAGCTACTGTACCTTTCTGGGAACTCGATAGAGCATCAGGTAGAGGGTCTACGCTAGATTATTCACAAAGTAATCTATCCATATCGTGCCGCCAGCCGTCGGCGTTATCATAGAAGACTCGAACATCAGAGAAACGTTAAACATCTGTTATTCTATACGTCTCATGAAATTGTTAAGGAGTATTTTCGTCTGTTCGTACATTTGAGTACCGAGTAGAACTACAGAACATCTGTTCAGTAGTCTTTTTATCTTTTAAAGAAATTAAATACGCAGCCTAAATAGTACTCCGATCTGTGAAGTGTGTACTTATTGTAATCCGAGTATATGAAGCAGTTTTATTCGACCAAGATTGAAAATAAAATTAGAAGAGGCGACAAAAATGTTGAAGTAATAAATCGTTTATAACTTTATGGCCTATTATATTTTAGATGACGTCTTCTGAGTTTATATAGTGAATACAATCATTACAAAAAGACCTATTCAGAACTACAATAAAAAACTGATATTATTTTACGCCCCAGTAGACCGAAAACATGTGTAAAGCCAACCACACTCACAGAAATAGAGGTCTAATCACAAAGTTTTATCTTCAACTGTGGCCTTTGAACTAAACGGATTTAACTTTTAAGACAATAACATAGAAGTGATATAACATTTTGTTCGTTAAATGGCTTATGGTGTACTTATCGCTGCAAAGTACCTACTTACTAATTGCGTTTGCGTTCACAGTTCGCGGTTATCGTTTTCGGTGAAAATGTGATCGTTTCTTACACGTGTCTCTTCTTCGATCGGCCGGGTCCTCGCAAAATGGATCTATTCCGTGACTTTGCTACATATAAGACAGTAGGAGGTCACTAGGCGTAGTTTACTGCAATATTTGTTATGACTTATGACTTTAGATACGGTATGGTTCCTTTATAATGTAGTGATTTTGTACCTAACAAATTTTCGGTAATATGAACGGCTCAAAATCGGCCAAATCAAATCGCACATACAATTTCAGTCTGATATGAATTGGTTAGCTATCATTAAAGCGACTGTTAGCGCTGCGTTCGTTTCTAAAAACGAAATTAAGTTTCACAGTATCACGATAAAAATAGGTCATAGTATATAGAACCTAAGTAAATATTAAATAAAATATAATGACAAATAAAAAAGATTTGCCAGTGACAATGTAGGTGTATTTAAAGAAGCAGCTTCATAAAAATATAATTATTGTGTTATAAAGTTTTAAAATTTCATTACGGTCCATCAAACTGTAGCTGGTTAGGTAAATGATAATATAAACCACAAAAAAGGCGACCTCAAGACTTTGTAACAAGACTGTACTGTAAGTCACAGGTGTAACTTTGTAGGTTTTTCTTCTTTTACCGCAAAGTTTCTGATACACATTATACAGAACAGAAAGATCTTCTTAATGTCGTTTCTTATAAATCTTCAAAATTACATTACGAGTAAAGTAGTACCTACGCAAAATTTGCCAATTTTGTAGGCCAAAACAACAATAAACCTTGTATTGCATTTTTCTGAGTACACGAATGAATAGGCATGAAGGCGAATGTTTTATTGTTGAGTTGATTCACAACCCCTAACCAAAAAAATCAAACAATCATCCATCCGTCCCACAAACTCTTTAAAAATTATTAACAAATTCTTGGCAGAAAAATAACGGGCAAAAAAAAACCACCGAAAGGGTAAAAACAATTTAAAAATATTTTAATAAATCTCTTATTAATGAGACTATTATACTTCAATATTTAAATTAAACAACATTGTTGACGATGCTTTTTAATTGGTGTTTATAAAATAAGCAATCAATGTGGTAAACGAGCCATTATTTTGTACAAAAGCATTCGAGTTGAATTACATTATATTTTTCCGGGCCTCGGTTGGGGTAGCATCCGGCTCTCTGTTGTTGCTATCAATAACATATTGATTTTAATTAACACAATATATCTAGCGCTGTTTTTCCTCAAGGGAAAAGCGGTGTGAACACAAATGTTTGATGACTTTTATTATGAGTTCCATGTGTGCACAAATTGGGTTTCCGACAGGTTTGGATTCTGTGCTATTTACAGTGAATTCTGAATAAAAAACTTTCCAATTTTTCTATGGATATACATATATCCATAGCAAATAGTATGTATGACTGAAATAGCGCTTCAGACATTTTTTTAATTAATTACAATATTGGTATTTCTTATTCTTCAAGAACAAGAACAGCCATCAAGCTTCTAGCAAGATGCATCCCAGTGTTCTCAAAATTGATACATTTTCTGATTTCGAATTATTACATCTAATATCGTATTTGAAGATTTCATCTCGAACTAACCCTCGAACCCTTGTTCGCAGCAGCCCAACCAGAGCATGTAATCTAAAAACCCCGAAAATAATTTAAGATCTGATCCAAGTGACCCTTGTTGTAGTCACCCAGCGACGCCCTAAGCCGATGTTAGGGGTGCCTTTAGGGCGTAGTTGGTTAACTTAGTAAGAATCAGAAATGTGGTCTAATTGAAGGTTTTAAGTAATCATCATTACTGGTTTAGTCCGGTAAAGAAGACGGGTGTCCTCTCACAGAAGCAATGTTTATGAGCATCATTTTTGTTAAATCAATTTTAGTCATAATTTAATATTTAACTACTTACGAGTATTGGTACTTGGTTTCTCTCGATAGGATATTTTGTTACGATCGTTTCTTAAATAAAGACGCTCAAAAGGGTATTGTTACATTGTCGGGGTTTCAGGAAAATTTGTTGATTCCTGACAAAATCTCTTGAAGCAGGTAACTTAAAGGCAGTCAAGTGGAGCTCGACCACTGAGGGTTTCATTAAACGACGATTCACTTATTTTTTGTTATTTAAATGTGCCTTTTACTTCTGGAACTAGCCAACAAAGATTTAATTTTCTTCTTTATTTTGGCTAGAAGATCCACCGGCTGGCCATTACGAAGATTTGGTTATAACAGAGCTTAAATTATTTGACATTTATGTATGTGTACCTAAAATCTTATACATTGTTAAGACAAAGATAAAGAATGTCTTTCAAACAGAAAAGTTAGGGATTTCCGACAATTCTGAAAGTGGAACGCATATAGATAGCTCAAAGAAATAAAATCGTAAAAACAGACACAGACCGAATTGGGTTCTCAGCCCTAAACCCTAGGTAATAAATAAAATATGCGTGGCTAGGTATTTACTTAAGCATAAACATACATTACGTGGGAATCAAAGTATCAGCTTTAGAAAACAAAAACTTAAGTACCACAAATAACTAACTTTTCGAAGTCTAGTAACTCAGTTTACCTTAACTACAAGTTTACAAGACTCCTATTCCATCGTTAAGCAAACAAGGTTAATTATGATAACCATTTATTATGAAGACGGGAAAAGTAAAATATTTAATTTAAAGAATATTCGTACAAGGTTTCAACCCCTTCAATTATTTCGAGTTGCTTCATTAAAAACGGTCCATTTCAGCCGACGACAGGAAAATTAAAAAGCATAAAATAAGTGTGTAAAGGAGAAAGTATCTTGTATTTACACGAACAAAATGCATTGGTGGCAATTCATGTGAAGCATCAAGAATAAACGTTGGCATATCATCTCGTTAGGAAATATGGGACACGGTGCGACGCGCTCTGCAAAATGTGTTCCATTGCTCTTTGTGTAGTCGTCTTTTGTTCACTGATCTACCCGCCTACCCACATGCCCAGCAACGTGTTGTGTCATTTTTCAATAACTCACTGCATTCCCCTGCTAATTAAAGGGTCGTTATAACAGGCCACTGACACTATGAGCATAGGGATACTTTCAAACTACAAGTTGCGTTCTCTATGGCGCTCTGTGCATAAAACGGGATGTGACCTGTTTTTGTTTTTAGACAAGTGTGTCAGTACTGTTACGGGCAAATATACATTTCATGAAAGAGAATTGTTTTTTTGCCTCTGGGGTTTTCACGTGTCGTGGATACCACTGAGTTTTAACCAGATTCAGGTGTATTACGCAACGCTACTATCATTTACTCTCCACTTTCCGAAAAGGTTGGTTAAACCCGTTCTCCGAATTTTCTCATCAAAACGGGATCGGCTTTACGTGTTATTCGTGGCATGGGTTTATATAGTAGTTCACTTGTACAGGAGCTTAAAAAATATGGATGGTTAAATATACTGCTCCTTAAAACCTAGTTCTGCATGTTGAATTAACAAAAGGACAAAATATTTCCAGCTAATAAACAGCAAGATATTTAAATCTAAAACTATCTGATTGTGTGTTCAGATTACTTGAAGTAATGAGATGTTTCCAGCTAATTATAGAAGATTTAATTGGCCGTGTATAATTAATCGGTTCCAAATACCTTCTAATGTTGTTATAGCATTAGTGTACAAACCACAACTGTTGTTCAGTCATTAAGGACGTAAATCATAATTATATTACGCAATTAATCCAAAATGTAGCAGACTGTACCTACAGTCGCGTGAAACACCCTGTAGGAAATCAATGGTATTCTACAGGGTGCGCGGAGTTACAAAGCCTTCAATTAGTGAGGGATTCACATTTCTGGCTATTTCTCGATTAATGAGGCTACACTCGCATTCCTACCTACTTATGTTTTGTTACACACTGTGAAAGGCTCGAATACCACGTAATTCCTTTTATTCAAAGTGCTTTATTTAAGTTTAATTTAAAAAAAAGAGGTATACTTACCTAAAGTTATCTAAAAATTTCCTTTTTGTGATTTAAAATAAAAAAGGAATAAGTGATGACTTTTATCTTATAGAGAAACCTATCTTTTTAGGAATCAGCCCCTAATTGCGAGTTACTTTGGTTTAAGCAAACTTAATCCATACATTTACCACTCAATCAGCGCTCACGATTGCGAGCGCTAAAATGTTATAAAAACCTTTTCATTCGAGTCAAACTTTACGTTAAAGAACTGTGTATACAAGCGAATCGTGAAGTTCTTCATTTGAAACTTTTAAACAATTAACGGACTTGGTTATATTAAAGCATTGTGTAGATAAGAAGAGAAATAAAGAGAAAGAGAGTAAAGTTCCACGAGAGCAAAGTCGCACTGTGATGTAGATATTGGTGTCTATAGGTTGTATATTTGAATACGAAAACTTTGTATTAAAATTAGCATTGGAAACATAGAAGTGGGTCGAGAAACGGGTTTATATTTAATTCTCTAATCTTAAGTAACGAATTTTATCTAATTTCAAAGCTTAAAAAATAACAATATAAAATGGATACTTGAGTTCTTACGTGGCAAAAAATGTCGATAAATTAGAACGATATATAAACAAATATGTTTAATTATGTTCAAATTTTATTAATTATATAAATATAAGTGATTCGCTTTTAATTTAAATTTCATTTTATAATGTAATTTGGTATTTGAAATGTCTGCAACTGGGTATTTCTGGTAATTCTAGTTACTTATCTATTTTTAGGCGCTATGTGAACCTCCAAAATTTCAGGCGTCACTAAATTCAAGATGTAGGTTTAGTCTTAGAATATATTCTGCTTTAATCAAAACGTTATTCTTCGCTTTTATTTAAGTCTAGACGGTTATTAAAATTTATTTGAAAATTGCAATTGCTGTGCAAAATTACAAATACCTGAAGACTTCGTTCAAAATTAAACTCATGATATTTCCAATAACTTTGAAAGTAAAGAACGTTGGTTTAATACAGAGCTGCACAAAATATTCCCAGATTGAGGTCTCTATTTCTCTTGTAGGTACATTACTAAACGCGGTTACTTACTTTCAAAATTCGTCTTTAGAGCTTGATATTGAAAAGGGCAGCCCAAATTGAAGGATTAAATGTTCCGTCTGTGTCAATATGATAAGAGCTGTGAAAGGCTCGGTTCTCAACCCCGAATAAATGTAAAATTGGAACGGAGGACAAAGAACCAGCAACGAGATTGGTCAGGACGATCGGTGACAGCTGTGTTTCATGTTGCCGCTCTCTTCACTGCGATCCTTTATGTTCCAGATGTTGTAGGACCCTTCAGACTTTAGAATACTTGCGAGCGCCCAAACGTATATCATTAACATTTCATCAAACAAACCTAGTACAAGCAACGTGTCATTAATTTTCAATTACATTTCCGCTAAAACATAACTAAAACAATACGAAATTAATTAACATTGTAAACTAATTTATGTACCGAAACAAAATAAATTTGCGTTACCAAATTGCCTCTGTTATTGTCACAACAATATATTTTTACGTAACAAAAAAATAATCAAAACTCGAGAACTTGTTATAAGTTTCAGGAGAAAAACTTGAATCGCGGACACAAGTTGCTCCGTCGCTATATTTGAGACCTACATAAAACACGTTGTCGCTTTCGATGTGAATGTATTTGTATAAAATCTAATAAGCTTTCTGAAACGTTCGTAATTTAAGGCTTTACGCTTCCAAATAAAATAAGACATTTTATTTATGAGAACGATACGAATGAGAGTAGATATCTTCGTGGTACAAGTTTAATTAATAGACGAGCGATTCACTTATTATTATTCCAAATTATATTCCTTTACCGAGTACTAAACTCGATTTAAGTCTTCCAATCCAAAGCAATCATTGGAAAAGAATTCGTAAAAGTTCATCGTAACGTTAATCTGTCTGGGGATCTCGGTTTATATTTGTACGCAAATCAGGCTTCTAATATTACATTTGAAATCCTCATGATACTCTTACAGGGAGCGCAGTTTGAGGGTGTTATGAAAATAAGCTCTTTTTTTCAGGTTCGGTGAGAAGTGGAATTGACATAAGATGTGTGTGATTGTGTGGCGAACTAACACTTGGAATATTGAGGTAAAGGAGTGACTCCATTGTACTGAGTACTGTGAACTTAAGCGGAGAGTGTCGTGTTAAAGTGTGATTTGAACCGAAGTATCAGGTGGTATGGAGGTCGTACCATCAAGCGGGAGCCGCATTCTCGTGGCGTTCTTTGCTACTGTCTTCTGGGGAATGGGTGAGTGTTTTAACTTAATAGATACTTATATACTTAAACATAACTTGTTGTTGTTTACTATTGTTTGTAACTAGCTATTTCGATGAACTTTGTGTTGAGTAAGAAATATGCATACAGTAATTTAACAATACAATAATTTTAGGGTAGAAATATGTTTGTGTTAGTTTAGATTGTAATTAAACAAAGAGTTTTTATACACAATCATATTCTACCGATAAATGTTTCATATAAAAAATTTCTACACAATCAAATGTCTAACCCAGGCATGTTATTTATCCAAACACAAAACATTTTCGATCGTATCTGTTGTTCTAACATTATCTTTTTCGATATTTTATGTATCTTGTACACGGTTAAATGTCAAGTTAGGATGTAGGGATCCTTGTGATACTAAATTCATGCGAGACAGGCCTAGAAACCGAAAGGTCATCGAGCAAAAACAATATGTTGTGTGCGGTGTGTTAACTAAACTGAATAAACAACATTAACAACGAGAAACATTTGAACTCCTACAGTATAAAACATGGTAACTGTCACCCACAACTTTGTTTGCGTATATTTGTTGAAAAGGTTCACGTTATAAAGTAAGTAGACACAAGTGAAATAGACACTAAATTCTAACACTTCTGAAACCACTGTTCACTTAGTTACAGCTTGAACTCGCAAATTATTGTTAGGCATCTAATATCATAGCTATAACTAACTCTCAAATAATCCGGGTTTAATTTTTAAGCAACAGCTCGGTGGTACATATTCTAATTAAACGACTCACGGTAATGGAGAAAAATTAACACACACTTTAATTACATAAACCAATGTATGTAATGTATTTCCCAAAACGGTAATCTGAGGTGCATTCAAGTTAAATAAGAATTTCGATAATCGAAAAACCAGGGTATTGGTCTCCATTAGGGTACCGGTCCCAAGATGCTTCGCTTATCAGTGCCATTTACAACCAATTGATTATGTCTAATGTTATTTCTCAATTAGTAGTACGAGTATACTAGGCATATTATTACCGTTCAAGTAGGTACAAATTACATGAAATTCAATACCTGATCAAGTTAATTACGTAAGGAGATATTTCAAACCGTCCAACGTTCTTGATTAGGTGTTAATCTGGCAACGGTTTCCTTAAATTTAATTATCTTAAAGTGCTTTTCAATAAGATATCAATTATAGCAACGCTTCGTCGACGCGGAAGTGAATTATGTTGTAAGCACATCCTCCTCAAACATACATATGTATGTATATTTTGGATTAAATTCCAAGTATCTCTATATTGTTCTCTGAAATCCAAAGTTAACACAGTAAATGATCATTAAGACGATGGATTTCAACACCATTTTCGAAATTGTTTACGGCAGTGTACTTAATACAACTTACAATGACTGATTACATTATAATGTTTAAGCAATAAGGTTCTAAATAGGACAAACAATTCTCTTCTGGCCATTGCCCAACTAGGTTACTTTCGTCCCCTAGGGTTGTACCGTAACAAGAAATGCACAATGAGGATCAGCTTGTATATTCAGAGGTCCCAGCGGCAACATTATAGGTGCTGATAGCCACCACTAGTGTTGAAAAGTTATACCTACTTATAATTGATTTTTATATTTTTCTGGGATTTTTATTGAAAACAACGTTTAACTCAAATGATTTATTTGCTACTACAGTTAAAAGACAAAAAATGACTGTAATAATATGACAGCCGTCACACACAGCTATCTCTATGGTCTCACAACAAAAAGTATTATCTATGAAAACAAAATATTTGGACAACTAGGACAGTCCAGTGAAGTAAAGATTCACCCCACCCTTTTTCTCTTAATGTTTGCGTTTCGATATATTTTCCCAATACCTAAAAAAAAGAAAAAAGTACCATCAGTTTTTACTACATATCAGTATTCACCGTCTCAATACTAATAAAGCATTCTCAGTCTCTTTGAGATCCCGAATACCCGGAAACATTACTCCAAACGTGTCGAACTCCTTGCTCCTTACATATCAATGTGCGATGCTGTAGTCAATCCTCTATGGAATTGGACTTTCACTCCAGTTCAAGTTAAGTCCGTAATCCAAAAGCCCCTTAAATAATTTAAGATCTGATCCAACTACCCCATGTTGCCTTTCCCTTTCCCATCGACGTTTTAAGCCGAGATTCGTACCCAAGTACCCAACTACGGTATCCTTAGCGCTATCGTATAGTTCAGGGGAATTAAAGCCCATTTCGCAATGACTTATTACGTTTTTGTTAGTCTAACTGACGGATAATTTGACGTGTTTCCTATACGAAATGAGTTAGTATGTAGGTCAGTTGATGACACTTTTTTATATAAACTTTGTATATAGTTAGATACATTTGATGGATTGATATCTTATAGGACCACCTGCGAAACGCTAAGTAAAAAAGAAATATATGTATAAGTAAAATTGGAAGAAGATATTAATATAAAAACTCCATGATACCTAAAGTAAAAAAAAAATGAAATATACTTATTATATTTTTACATTATGGATAAGGGATACGGCCTCGCGTAAAAGGTAACCAACGCCCGAAAGAGTATTAAAGTGATTGCAATACTTAAGCACGTCAAAATAAAGTAGCGAGATCAAAGGTAGATTGATATTACTTCACAATAAAACGACTTTATTATGATAGCAGCTACCAATTTACGATTTTTCGAAATGAAACCGGAGCACCTCTAAATATCAATTACCTTCTACGCGTTTTACTTCATTACATTTTTATAACACCCTGTATTAACGAATTTATGTTTAGGAATTACGTATTATATTTTCTATTTAGGTAATATAGGTTAGAAAGTGTAATGTAATAAACACCTTATATAATCTAATATTAAGGCTGTTTTTATAGCAATAGGCAGATGGGAATATTTAATATACTTACAATACATTATGTTATTACTTCTATGTCATTTTAAGACAGTTACATTACAAATTATAGTTAACTAAAAACCGCGGGTTATTCACGGTCGCGGTGACGTCGCCGCGACCGCGCACGCTGCTCATGAGGAAGAACCCCTCTGTAGTTCGAAACAAGTAGAGCTTTTCTCAGTATATTCACGTAAGTAACCCGCGATTTTTAATTAATTTAGCATACTTGTAATAACTATAGCATATTTGTAATAATTATAGCGCCTACATTAATATTTTCGGATCCTAAAATTGAACTTAAGGATCTCATTTTCAGTACTAAAACAAACAGTCGTAGATCTAACGTGCCGTACCAAAACAAACAAGACGGATAGAAATTACTTCCTTAGGAAAATAAATATCTTTAAAACGTGCACTTACGTTAGATTGCTATTTGTAATAAGTGCTTGTAATCATGATTATGTACCTTCTATCTCTGTTATATACAGGGCAACGGAAAGCTTCCAAAAACGCTGACAAAAAGAATATAGTTTTTGCTATTTTTTTTTTGTTTACGTGTGTAGGTACTTGGGTGTGTCTATATCATTTTATTATTTAGTATCATTCAAAATGAAAGCAACAAAAACCTATAACACTAGCCGTGTAGGTGATTAAGCTTATTCAAAATAATTCTATTTTTAGTACACATATAACATGTCACACACGTAGGACATAAAAATATTGTGGATTATAAAATAATAAAAAATATATTACTATGAATCTAAACAATGGATATTGTTACGTTATAAAATTGGTGAGTCGTGGGCGTTTTAGAGAATTCTATGTACATCATTGAAAAATAAATATTTCGAGGTGTAGATTTTGATATTTAAATCTAAAAATTGTTAGATGAAATATAAATTAATTTAATAAAAAAAACAAGCTAAGAATTTGTCTTCATACAAATCAAATATGTATACTAAATTTCAGCTCAATAGGTTGAAGATATATATGCCTTAAAATTCAGTCGCAAGATTCCATGTCACTCACATAGGCACATCACATACAATACACTAGAGTTAAATAAAGGCTTATAACGCTTTACTTCTTTTTTAAAGACAATATTTGTTCACAATTTTAACGAGATGCATGCCAAAAATAACTCCCTCTAAGGAGGATTGGTTGAAGATTAATAAAATCCTTGAGTCTTAAAAGAATTTGAGGAAATAAACCAATAAGGGCCAATTAAAGGTTAGAGCTCTATATAACATTTTTGAGTCGATTAAATAAGTTTGTGAGAACAAGAACCCTTTGGTCTTGAGCCTTCAGAACTAAGTAAAATTGGATTTTAATTAAAATCTATGGGTAGCTTCAAAATCTTCATTTCAGTTTTCGTACGATGTTAAAGATTGATACGTGATATTGATGATCAAATAATAAACTGTATTATTTGATTAAGTTCTACAATATATAACATTTTATCGAATGGATCAATTACCCCACTAGGCTGGATAAAGAATAAATACTAAGAATACTTAGAAGCTACTTATAATTTATTTCTAAAACTGAAACTGCTATTATAAGTCTTATAATATACAGCTTAACAGAAGTATAAAGCAAGGAAAGCAAGCTTATTTTCTCATAACAGATTCAATCTTTATGAGCTACCAAGAACTTCAGGATAGGAAAATGTAATAATAATATTTCCCTCGATTTACGAGACAAGCTTTTGACTTTGATCTCAGTTACAGCCAGTAATAGTACGTGACTATAATATTGTTTAATGTTAAAATACAAACAAAAAATGTAATATTTGGTAGGTATAAGTACTTTTATTTTACCGAAGATCTAGTCTGTGGTGTACATAGAGTTCACCTACTTTTTTGCCAATTCAGTACTTGTGTGTACCTAATAATTAAAAACAAAGGTTAAAAACTTTAATTTTAAAAACAGTATACAAAGCTAATCATCACTTATTCGGCTATCCACTTAAACAAATGCAAACTTAAATCCATCTACCAAATTTAATTTGAACTTGGCTTAAATTTAAAATCGATTAAAGTCTAAAGGTTTGGATACTTAAAAGGCTTTGTACAGCTAAGTTATTATCATGATTAGTTATG